TACCTATTTTACGTCTGTTCAGTGTATCTTAATCATGACCCAATTTCAGTCGCCGTTAATTAGGGCAGTTCATTTAGATTTGTATGCTATTTCGCGTATGTATATATATATATATATATATATATACATATATACATATATACATATATATATATAAGCAAATATATTAATGCAACTTAATGTTGATGATGTAATTATAAATGTATGTATATAACTTGTTATACTATTTCGTAACAAAACACTGATAGAATATATATATATATATTATAATTCTTATATATATATATATATATTATAATAGTTATTATGTTTCAATAATATATAAATATATATATATATATATACATATGTATATATATATATATATATATTTGTCCGTATGCGTGTGTGTGTTGTGTGTGTGTGTGTGGTTTGGTAGAATGTCTTTTGCCAAAAAAAAAAATTATTTTTTTTATTGTTGCTAATATTATTATTAATTTTGTTGTTGTTATTTATATCATTATTGTTTAACATCATCGTTATTATTATTATTATTATTACTACTCTTACTATTATTATTGTTGTTATTATTGTTTTATTGCTTTTATTTTTCTGAATATATTCTTTAAATTATCTTCGTAGAATGGACTTACAACAAGTTAACCCGTCTCCAATCGTTAATTATTATTATTATTATTATTATTATTATTATTATTAATATCATTTTTATTATTATTGCTACTTTGTTGTTTTAATTAATCTAATTATCATTAATAATAGTTAATAATAGTAGCATTAGCAGTGTTTAATACTAGATTTTTTCCGATTATTATCATTCAAACAAATACAAACGGCACACGCACGCACGCACACAAACAAACAAACAAGTGAACGAATCAACAAACAAACTAACACACTCACAAACAAACACACTCACAAACAAACACACTCACAAACAAACACTCACAAACAAACAAGCAAATGAACGAACGAACGCAAACAAATGAACAAACGAACCGACAAACAATTAAACAAACACACTCACAAACAAACAAACAATTAAACAAACACACCCACAAACAAACAAACACACAGACTTACGTATAAGTATGTCTGTGTATGTGCACATAACATTTATTAATTTATATTTAGATAATTATTTAACTTTTGTACCAGAATTTAATAAAAAGAATTTATATTATATTATATTATATATATATATATATATATATATATATATATATATATATTATAATATTTATTTATAAAAATATATATGTATATGTGTGTGTGTGAGTGTGTGTGTGAATATGTGTCTGTGTGTTTATTCTTACTAGCATTAATAAATAATTCTCAACGTATATATGTATTAGTATGATAATAATGTGAATCCTTTCCTCAAACAAATTCCAGTAGTAGTAGTAGTAGTAGTAGTAGTAGTAGTAGTAGTAGTAGTAGTAGTAGTAATAGTAGTAGTAGTAGTAGTGGTGGTAGTAGTAGTAGTAGTAGTAATAGTAGTGGTCGGGTAGTGGTAGTAGTGGTAGAAGTAGTGGTAGCAGTAGTAGTAGTAGTGGTATAATTTTTTAAATTAAAAAAATTTAAGTGTATGTAGATGTACCCATACCGATATGTATCGATTAAAAGATTCGGTTTTTCTCATACAGACCGGCTGTTCATCGAATGTATGCGTGTGTGTGTGTTTATGTGTGTGTGCGAATGAATGAATTAGATTAATGGATGGTGGATGGAGTGGTAGATAGATGGATGAGTAAATAAAAGAATGAAGAACATTTTCCTCTTAAGAGGCTGAATCACGCAATATTATTATTACTCGAAAAAATTAAATTAAATTAAGATGAAATATTTTTATCGATATATTTATTATTGGTAGTAGTTGTAGCAGCAGCAGTAGCAGTAGAGGCAATAGCAGCTGCCGTAATCATCCCCACTACCATCATTTTAATCATCCTCATCATCGTCGTCGTCGTCATCTTCCAAGCAAACCAACAAATTGTTTGCACAATGTTGTGGCTATCAAATCAAAGATGAATGAAGTTTGTCCTACACGTACATACTCACGTACACACATACACACTTATACAAACATACAAACACATACACTCACACACACACACACACACACACACTGAGGTACACATACACAAACATACATACACTCACACACACACCACACACACACACACACAAACTGAGGTACACATATACAAACATACAAACCCACACGCATACATTCATGCATTTTGTTGTACGTTCGCCTATTTGCTTGTGTGTGCGTGCGTGTTTGTACGTGGGTGTGTGTACGTTTGTATGTACGTGCGTGTATTTGAATGCATGTGTGGGTATTTTTTCACGCCGATTTCATGCGTTGGACAAGACTTTTACGAATGTTTCTAGCTCTCTGAATAGGAATTAGCATTATGAAAATAAATTTTTAATGTGGCAGTTCTTAGGGTCAAAAATTCAAGATGTCGGATTTAAATTACATTTTTTTTAGATTGAGATGTCGAGCATCTCCAGATGAATTTAGGGGTATTAGTTGAATGAGTGAATGTATGAAAGAATGAATGAATTGATAAATGAACGAGTAAATGAAAGGGTGAACTGATAAATAAGTGAAATCATAAATAGCTATTAAAAAACGAACGAACGAACGCATGATTAAACGAATAAGTAAGTGAACGAAAGAACGAACGAATGAACGAATGAATGACCACCAAACCAAAGAATTGTCAGTCAGGCAGCAAAGCCTGCCACACTCATATTTGGAGTGACACCACATCAGACATCATCTTCATTACCATTATCATATTTTCATCATCATTTCATCATTCTTTGTAGCACGCAAGTTTATTGTTTGATTACAAGTATAAAATATACGTATAACAGAGCTTCATTGAGACTGCTGCATCTTTCTTTTAATATTACTGATTCTTGTCTATCTTGGTTTTCTTCTTATCTCTGTAATCGTTTTTCTTCTGTTGTTCTCAATAATTCTACTTCTAACTCCTCTACCCTTACTTTCGGGGTACCTCAGGGTTCTATCCTTGGCCCTCTTCTATTTATACTCTATACTTCTGAACTACCTCGTATTATTAAAAACTTTTCTTTCTCTAGTCAACTATATGCTGATGATTCTTACATTTATACTTCTTTTCCTCCATCTAATCTCAATAATGTTCTTCATAATTTATCTCTATGTCTTTCTTCAATTATCGCTTGGTCTGACTCTATGTGTCTTAAACTTAATCCTTCTAAGTTTGAATTAATTTGTTTTAATAAATCTAAACACTCTATTACTATTCCTCCTATTATCTTACCTGATTCTAAAACTCTTGATGTCTCTCATAAGTTTCGTAGTCTAGGTTTTATCTTTGATTCTACAATGTCTCTCTCTTCTCAGATTAATAGTATTGTTAGAAGCTCTTACTTTCATCTACGTAGAATAAAAAAACTTTTGCCTTTTCTTGATGATCCTACTCTTCTCCTTCTTGTTACTTCGTTAGTCTTATCTAGGATTGATTATTGTAACTCGCTCTACTATGGTCTTCCTGACTCTATACTCTATCCTTTAAGTAAAGCTTTTAACTCTGCTGCTCGTCTAGTTGCTCGTGCCCCTTTCTTTTCTCATATATCTCCATATCTTGTTTTCTTGCACTGGCTACCTATAAAATATAGAATAATTTTTAAAATTTGCACGTTCATGTATAAGTCTCAATCTAAATTATTTCCTAAGTATTTATCAGATATATTAATTGAACCTAAACGCCCCGGTTTACGATCGTCTTCTTCTTCTCGCTTTTTCTTAACTCGTGTTAAACACTCTTTTGCCAAATCTGCTTTTGCTTTTTCTGGTCCTTTTCTCTGGAACTCTCTACCTACTTCTCTGACTACTTCTCCATCTCTTGCGAAGTTCAGAGCGAATCTCAAGACCCATCTGTTTTCAAAATTCATTGAGGAGCGCTGTTGAACCTCGCGGAAATAGCGCTTTATAAGCTAATTGATTGATTAATTGATTGATTGATAATGAAGAATTAAAAAAAACTTATTTTGTAAATTTTAATGGTTTTCTATACTTTTGTTTACTCCACAATCGTCGTCCGTGTATAACCTAATTATACTTATCGTTGACGCTGTGTTTATTTTCATTTTGATCGAAATTGTAAGAAATTTAATTTAAAATGTCGTCTAAGAATCACAAAACTTCGTCTGATTACAAGAGAATCTTCATTTTGGGAGCTAAAGAGTTGTCGTCTGCCGATTTAAGAGCTGAATTTGAGCGTTTTGGTACCATTGTGGACATCCGAATGCTGAAAAATGGCGACCGAGAGAATAAAGGTTGATGAAGTCTTACGAAATTACCCACTACAGATTTAACATTTTTTATTTATTTAGCGATAAATTTAAACCAATAAACATTTTTAATGATTTTTCTCAAACTTAAAATTAAATATACCTCTATTAATGAAAATTTTATAGAAAACATGCTCACAACAACAATTTAAAATTTCTTGTTTCTAATTTTAGTTAGTTAATTTTATTGTGCAAATAAAAAATTATTATACAGGCCTCAATTACATAACGTTCACAAAGGCTTCTGAAGCGGCACTGGCCATTGATGAGATGAATGGCAAGAGAATTAAGGATCTTTTGAAGCCAATTCGGGTAATTATGACTTTTAAAGTGAATTATAAATAGATATGATGATCTAATAATTATCAATGCAAAAGTAATTCTGGTATAATATTTGTTTAATAATAGTAATTATAATCACAAAAAAATAATTTAAAAATGAAAATTCACTAATTTATAAAATTAGGTGGTGCTGGCCAATGATAAAACAGAGGGCAGTGTGAGGGACCCCGATGAGGATGAGAAAATGAAGCGTCTGTTCATTGTGGTTCCCCAAGAACAGGACCAAAAGGATTTGGAAAGAGAGTTCAGTGTTAGTGTTGATTGACTGATTAATTAGATTAGCTGGCTTTGAGGTTATTTGTTGGCTGATTGATTATTTGGCTGATATATTTATTATTTAAAACATTAAATGTTTTAAATTATTTTTGCAGAAATATGGAGATATTGAATATGTCAAACTGTTACGTAGAAACCAAAGCAATGTTCAGCTGGCCTATGTGAAGTTTCTAAAGGCTTACCATGCTGCTCTGGCCCTTGAAGAGTGCGATCCGGGTTAGTTAATTTGTTAATTGGTTGTTTTCATTGGTTCTTTGGTTGTTTTCATTGGTTCTTTGGTTGTTTTTATTGGTTCTTTGGTTGTTTTCATTGGTTGACTACTGCTTTGATTGATTGGTTGGTAGATTGGTTATTTTCATTAGCTACTCTGATTGGTCGATTGAGCATATATACAATATAGATACGCTGACTCATTGTATTAATATTTTAATTGTATGAATTAACAAACAAACGAACAACCAGCCTACAAGGCAGTCTTCGCTGACACGGCCTGGAGCAGCAAGAGAGGACATTCGGGGGATCGAAGCCGGTATGAGAGCGACTCAAAATACAGCAGGAACAGTGGTGGTAGTAGTGGTAGCCACCAGACCGTCAGAGGTAGCAGTAGTTTAGCCAGTGGTTATTCATCTGGTGGCTTGAGTGAAGAGGATAGGTATTATGCTGAAATGGGTAGGCGTGAAAACATACCATACGTACAATACATACACACCACACACAAACACAGGACTACCAACAAACACATAATTACCCACACACCCAGACAAACACACACATGCGTAAAACAGGACTTTCAAACCCAAACAAAGGTGGCCTGGTTTTAGGGAGTAGCGGTTACGGGGGTATTGACTGTCGTCTTGAGGCCAAACTTGTACCTCACATGACACCTGAGCAAGTCTACAAACTCTTTGATGTCGTGCCTGGCCTCGTCTACTGCAACTATGATTCCATCACTGGTTAGACACCTCATAACGGCTGCTGCTATAGTTTATTTATTATTTGTGTGTGTGTGTGTGTGTGTGTGTGTGTGTGTGTGTGTGAGGGAGGGAGGGAGAGAGGAGAATGTCTTTAAAAATAATTGCTAAGCAGATGTTACTAGAATTAAATTTTCTGGGAATTGACATGTGTAAACTTTATCGATTGATTATTTTAACATTATTTTATGCACTTGAATGAATATGCACAGTCCTTGAAAGCCAGATTCATTCTAATCTAAATGCACATACATGTAAGCACACGTACGAATGTACACACAACTTCTCAACCAATCAGGGTCAGCTGACATAAAGTACATCTCTCAATCAATGGCCAATCATGCAAGAGAAAAGCTGAACCTCTTGGAGTACCCGCTGGGCTACCCCATCATAGTAACCTCTAGTTCAAACCCTGCCCTCGATGATTCACATAGTAACATTCAGACACTGGTTAATACAATTGAGAAGGTGTGTTTGTTTGTGTGTGTTTCTCTATCTGCGTATATACGTGCATGTCTGTGTACTTGAGCAAACAAAATAGTTGCTTAACTTTTTCGCACATGCATACACGTATGCACAGAAACACTTATGCAGCTGTACATTCATGCATACACACACAAACGTACAGGCAACAGAATATCTGAAGCAGTCTGGACTTGCAGCTCCAATACTGGGAAGTTTCTTGGGTTCATCTGGCTTGTCGGGCCACGAGGCCAAATATTCTAACCTCTCATTGCCTGCCCCCAAACCTCTTGCCCCGGAGAACTCTCAATGTGTTGATAGGTCGGTGTGTTCAATCTACTGAGTGATTTGCTCAACAGTCACCTATGGTTTCTTAGATCAATATTTCAATGCTCATCACATTATTTATGTATTTTTGTATATGTGTGTGAGTAATGATGTACGTATGTTTGCGTGTGTGTATGTTTGTATGTGTGTTTGTATGTATGTTTGTATGTATGTCTGCATTTCCATCACTGCAGATTATTCATAGTTTCATATCCATCAAAGATTCCTGGAGACGTGCTAACCGATTTGTTCTGCAGATTTGGAGGCCTCATTAGTGTATTTTACCTGCCAAGTAAGAAATCATGCTTCATGAAATCATAAGTAGTTAGTCAACTGTTATTCAATTGATCAATTGTTGTTACTTTTTCAGACAAGAAATGTGGTTTCGCAAAGTTCACAACTAGCGAATCGGCTCAGGAAGCCCTGCGAACTCTGCACATGCAGACAATATGTGGCTGCACTCTCAAGGTCATTCAGGCTGAGCCCCAGACAAACTCTGGGAGTTCGAACTCTTCGTCTCATCATGGTTTCAGCAGTTCGTCTTACGATAGTTCGACCAGCGATGCAGCCAGTCATGGCTTGTCGGCAAAATCCTATAAATTGGACTGATGATTGGAGTTGTTTGGATGGAGAATTTTTGTTGTCTCTGTTTTTTTAATGTGCATCTTTGCGATTCGTTGTTGTTGTTGATGTTTTGGTGTCGTTTTTATGGTTGTGTTTAGTCAGCATCATCATCATCAGATGTTGTATCATCATCATCATCAGATGTAGTATCGTCATCATCATCAGATGTAGTATCATCATCAACATAGCTAAGAGAAATTCCCTTGTCAGTAAATGTGTGTGTGTGTTTGTTTGTGTGTGTGTGTGTGTGTGTGTGTGTGTGTATCGTACCATCATCATCATCGTCGTTGTTGGTTGTTGTTGTTGTGGTTGACAATGTGTTCGTTGGTTCAGCTGTAAGGAACTTGGAAAATCTCCAAAGGACAAAACAAATCCAGAGTGAGACATCTTTTAATACTTTTGTTTGTTTATTTTAAAAGTTAATTTCATTATTACGATAATAACATTATTTATTATAAATAATATATCTATGTGATTCGCTTATTTTTCTTCATTGTTAATGTTACCCATTCATAAACAACAACACACACGTCCAACAACTGCACAGGTTTATAAGTCGTTGACAAAATATGCGTGATCAAGAGACATTTACAATGATGATGATGATGATGACGACGACGACAATAATACAAGACAGCTACTACTACTACTACTACTACTGCTTCCACCGTCAATACTATTACTACTACTACCGACTGCTACTGCAGCTGTAGTAGTGGTCGTGTGACGACGACTACTTGTAGTACGATTTTCGATGACGATTGAGGAGAAGACGGTCGGCCGGACGAATTCGACCGCAGTCATGTGATTAAACTGCACATTAGCATATTTACGACGACGATGACAACAACAACAACAACAACAACAACAACGTCACTGGTGGTGGTGGTGATGATAATGATGATGATAATGATGACGACAAAAACGATGATGATAATGATGACAACAGGAACTCTGATGATAATGTTGATAATGATGATGATCGTACTACTACTACTACTACTACTACTGATGATGATGCTACTGGCAATAATTTATGATTCTGAAAATTATGATTAAGAACTATGATGACTAATATTGTAACTATTTAAAATGATGATGATGATGATAGTGGTTATGATGATGATAACGATTTACTGATGATGATGATGGCACTGTTGATGAGGATGATGATGATAACATGGTAATGATGATAATGACTTAAACGACCTTTCTTCACTAAGGCAATTTTCTTTGCGATGTTGTGTTTTTGCGTTTAAATAAAACTGTCTTAAATACGTTCTACGACGCTTTGTGTGTGTGTGTGTGTGTGTGTGTGTGTGTGTGTGTGTGTGTGTGTGTGGAGACATGCACATTAACATGCATATACATTGAAAAAGAGAGAGAGAGAGAGAGAGAGAGAGAGATGCTAAGAGGAATGAGAAGAGAACTTGCAGTCGACAGTTTTACGATAACTTTTGTCGTTTTAAAATGGGATGAAGCTGCTTTAGTAATGTATGACAAACCTTTTTTTATTCTTTGTCGTTTCGTCTAATCGTCCAATTCAATTTTTTTTTTATTTTTATCTTATTTAGAAAGACCTTCCTCATTCGCTCTCCAGTGCCCCCAAAAGAACTTCCAAGCCGTCTCCAAAAATGGTTTAAAATGGTTAAAAATTTGTACGTGCGTAATATAGGTCATGATGTTTCATCTTGCCGTATTACATACGCTTATAATTACACCTTCATTCATTCAAATCCATGGACGAACTTACTTTTTATTAACATTTTTCAGATTTCCTAAGTCAGCCAGATGTTAAATGGGTGAACTAGCCAATCATTAGTACCTCAGCCGTATCTGCGATGTAACATCGGCCACCCTATACATCAAAATGGGTCGATTGCAATTGATAACTGACAAAGAACATTTTTCTATCAATTTTGTTTATTTATTAAAACAGATAAAAAACAGTATAACTTCGTTTTAATGTACATATATTAATTAATTAGTTAATTAATTAACCAATCAATCATGTATAAGTGACGAAAGAGATGTCAGAGCACACGATGTTTGCACATACGCGTACGTCAAATGAAATTTTTTTTTTACAGAATAAAAAAAATCAGTGAACGAAAAAATAAATCAGATATACAAAGATGATAGCAAATAAGTACAGCCTGTCGAAAATTTTTGCTTAGAGAAAGATTAATTTATAACAGTAAAGGTCTAATGTGTTTTATTGTATAGTGAAAAAGTTTATACATCATTATCATTATTATTTTGGCTGGATCAATATGATACATTTGTAATATTGAATCTGATCAAAATCTGCTTAGGCAGAGGAAAATATCAAATTAAGTTATGCTTGAAATGTGTATTAAGTAGGAGTGTTTGTGTGTGTGTATATACAGAAACATGTGATATAACAGAAAAGACTACAATTGAAAATTTCTAAAAAATCTTAACATGTATTATGATGGCAAATCAAGTAAACAGATGTGTAAAAAGTTGTCGGGATAGCTGAGGCGCCTACTGAGCCAGAGAAGGGGCGTGTCTAAAGGGGGCTTTATGCCCTGAGTTAGGTAATTAATATTCACCAATCTCTCGTCTGATTGGTTTATAGAGATGAGGGGATTGGCTGTGTTTTCGTTGTTCATGTTGCTGATTGCATCTGTGGTTGAATCTGCAGAGTTGATTGACGCATTATCTTGAACAGAATTGTCTGTGTTGTCGGCTTTTTCATTGACTGCATCTTGCCCTTTAAGATGACTATTACTGTTGTTATCGGATGTATTTGCATTTGATTTGGAGTCTTCATCAGAAGTAGTGTCTTTGTTGCTTGCTTCTGTTGCATCATTAGGTTGTGTCAAATTTTTTGTGGCTTTTTGTTTTATAAAAAAATTGAAGAGATCTGTAAGAGTGTGTGGTTTTTTGTCTTTGCTATATGGAGGCATGAGACACTGCTTGATGATGTCGTGTTTGATGTGCAGTCGGATAGGGATATACCTGAACTTGTTAGTTTCGCTACATTCCATAAACTTCTCATTCACCGACCAAAATTTCTCATAGTTTCCCTCATTCAGACCCTGATTAAGTTTATTTGAAACAAAATTGGAAAAATTAGAATGAAATTATTGGTAAAAATTTGAGGTGAACTTACCTGAAACAGCATTTTGATTTCATGCCTCTGCATCACATTGATCAGCTGACCTCTGTGCTTTAAGAAGTCAGCTTCCTTCAAGTTTGACATGTACAAAGACTCGACTGCATCTCTACTTGTGAACCTTATGATATTATTCTGTGGAAAGTCTTTGTAATGTACAGTTATCACCCATGGCAGATCAACCTGATGTGTATACAAATAATGATATTTTAAATTTTATATTTGGTTTCGAGTTATTAACACCAATTTAAACTGAAAAATTTATCAAAAACAGTGAAAACAAATCAAGGACCTTTGTGAGTGAATTGAGATCAAATAGAACTCCAATTGGCCAATGCCATTGAACTGGCATGCCATTGTTGTCTTCCAGCCAAATGTTGGCCTCAGTCAGATCTGGGTCTATGTATCTTTTGTAATATTTGTGAATTTTTTCTGAAAAGACTAAGGGAAAATAGGATTGTCTCATGACAGCCATGTACAGAGGCTCTGGTTGCTCAGTTAGGAATACATCACTGGGACATAACCGAAATAGGACGGGTATCTTGCCATTCCATACTTCTTTTCTCACATCTTCGTCATTTGCCATTAAATCACTAAACTAACCCTTACACCTACACTAACAAATAACTAAGAAAGCACTAACTCTAAAAAAACTCTAAAACTAAAACGTAAAACCCTCTCTAAGAAACAGTAAAACGGCAACAACAACAACAGCAATAGTAACTAACCCTAACTTAATTTCGCAAAGTAATTTTTTTAAATTAACACAAACTCTTCAAAAATATTGACGAACAACAATAAAGCTAACACGATTAAGCTGAAAATGATTTACGAGTTTTAAATTTTATAAATTAGTCACAGAAAAAACGAAGCAATGTAAGACATAAGTACATCGAATTAAAACAGATGCCTCATACTCTAAACTTTTTACTGTGAGTTATGGAAATCCTATATATTCATTCTGTTTTGTTGTAAATCTTCAAGTATTTTAACTCAATAACAATAAATTTAATATAAAATATTAATATATATATGTATTTTAGTTAAAAATTGTTTTTTAAATAAAGAATATGCTTTAATTTATCTTTAACAAATCGACATACCAACTTGCGTGTACATGGTCGGTCAGACACATGTATATGATCAGATTTGTCAAATTAATAGCACGCCTCGTTTTTAGTAATTATTATTTAAAAGTTAATCACCACTTAAAAGTACCGCACTAAAAAAATAGATTCACCAAACGTCTGTAATTTCACCAAATTTAAATGTTATCCAAAGAAATTTATAATCTATTTAACGAATTAAAATGCGAGAAAGCGCCAAAATTTCCAAAAGGCGGCAGTAGATATTTAATTCGGTGGAATCTCAGTAAAGAGAACCGGTGGTCCAGCGATGGTTACAAATGGCGACAATGTGGTTCCCTAAAAAATGTCCCCAACATGATGGGGAAGTTAGCCAAGATTATTTTTTATGTATGTGTTGGCTTTGCGCATTCCAACAATCATTCATTCAATCATTTTGTTAGCAATTTACTTACAAGAACAATGAGTTATAATATAATTATGAAATTAATTAAATTAATTTTACTTATTTCCACCACAAGGCTTACACTGGCAAAAACAGTTGGACTTATAAATTTAGTAAAACGTGTTTTGTTAGATCAGACCGACCAAACAAAGTCCTGGTTGCTTATAACGGGGATGAATCATTAGCTAAAAAGTTCAATCATAAACAAGTATTGATTTGTGTTTTATTTTATTATTACTGTTTTTGTTTATGATCATTATTATTATTGCTATTACTACTATTGATGTTTATTTTGTTTTTATTGTTTTAATTATATATATATATATTTGTTGTTGGGCCATATGTATGGAATAGCCTGCCTTTGGAGCTGCAAGCTTCAGGGCATTCAATTTTATCCTTCAGGAGGAAACTAAAAATGTTTCTGTTTGCGCAATGAGTGCTTTGATTGTTGTTTCCTTGTGATTTGTTTCAGCGCCTTTGAGATTTGATGAAAGAGCGCTATATAAATCTACCTAATAATAATAATGATGATAATATATAAACATATATAAATAAATATAGATTAGCATTGCAAGAAAAAAAGTTTATAATAATGAAGATTCTGATGATGGAGAAGATGAAGATGGTAATGACAACAACAAAGATGGTGATGATGAGGTTGATGAAGCAAGTGATGGTCGGTTTGTTTTAATGCTTTTACTGGTATTATACTACTACTACTACTACTACTACTACCACTATTACTTCTACTACCACTATTACTTCTACTACTACTAATACTACTACTACTACTACTAGTGGCCCTAGTGGGGTGCGGGGCCTTGAGTGAGTTAGGGGGTGCAGGGCCTAGTAGTATAAGTTGGGAGTACGAAACGAGCCATAACAAACAAACGGAGGAAAACAATAATTTACATAAAATTACTGGGGTATAACGAAATAAAAATAAATTATTACATTTTATCAAAACAGGCTTATGACAAATTGGTAATATATAAAGGTAGAAAAGAATTATTTAAAAGATTTGAGTTGTTCAACTGAATTATATACATATATGAAATTTAACTACAATAATGTTCATGAGATAATCACAGCTAAAAATCCACTTTCTTTACCTTTTTGTTGGCAAATTCTTGAGTCAATTTTTTGTTGTCTAATGTAGAAGCAATTTTTTCTTCTATGGACGACATAGCTAGACCACACAATCTTTCCTGATGCATTGTAGATCAGAGATAATTTTTTATCAATTTGAGTTTTGAAAAACTTCGCTCAGCTGTAGCTACAGTAACTGGTACTGTTAAGAAAGTTCTGTAAGCTATAGCAGCATTTGGGAAAGAATCTGCTAGATGTGCAAAAGATTCCAGACAACCTAAACCACTATTGTTTTTTTTTAGGAATCAATTCTCTTAACACTTTCAGTTTGGCAAATAAATCCGAGCCATCCAAATCTCTCAATTCCAGACACATGCATTGTGTTTTCAGATTTTCTACAGTCATATCACGAAGAAGTTGAATGTTAAACAAAAATCCATAGTTGCTGGACTATTCTTCCAACTGATGGAAACGATTTTTTAGAGATTCCAAAGCTTCATCAACAATCCATAAAAAGTATTCCGTTTTGAAAGCATTTTCAGGAGTATTCCGGAATTCATCGTCTGGCAGATTTTTTTTTAATAATTCGCTTCTTTTTAAATATTGGTTCAATATTCATAACTGATGCAATTTCTTTTGCGCTGACCAATGCTGATAAAAATCCAAATTCTCTGTGATTGGTAAAAAACCCAATCAGCCCTTTAATTTGTTTTATGGCTGTGTCAAGCTGCATATTTGAAACTTGAAAACATTTGCTGACGGTGTTGACAGCAAATAGCACGTCATACCATACTACCATTGCAACCAGAAACACAAAATTTCCTAATTCGCGGTTGGCAATGGATTCGGCTTCACTTTTCACCTTGGGGTCCTTTGCCGTTTCAGAAACTTTTGTGAGGGCGTCGCGAAACTCCAGTGCTTGATAGCGTGCAGCTTTAATTCGGCACTCAATTAATTACTTAACTAACTAATACGAAACTTTAATTAACTCAATTAAGTTTGTTAATTGACACAAGAATCATCATTGGAAACGCGCGAATATAAAAAAAAACATCAGCTTTAAAGAACAGGTAGCTATAGAAAAATCGATCGCAAGTTTTTAACTATAGAAATAAACTTACACTAGAAGTTATTATAAGACTGATGAAAATGCGTTTCATTGTTTTAAGTTTTTTCTTCGTCTGCAGTTTTACGGTTTACCACTGGTGTGGTTGGGTTGAGAATGTATATTTCTTTAATTAATTTATTAGGCTTACTTTGTTTTCATTTTTAAAATTTAATTGGAAATTTGATGTTTTAGAGTTAATTAATTTTTTATCGTTTTAATTGATACAATTGCTTTAATTGGACACAAAAGCTATTAACGATTTGACCAATTACATCAATTAATAAATTAAATGCTTCGATTGAGTTTAAATAAGAATTTATTGAAATTATGAAAAAAAATATTATGGATAACATCTTTTGATGAAAATGATATCAATTGAGATAAAAACTAAATAATAAAGGACTTATAATTTTAGGCTCTTAAGATACATTCATATTCATTCAGATTATCGTCCACATCATCATCACCATCCGTATCAAAGATAACGACACTACCATCAACCGCATCATCTATAACAATCCTAACTACGGGTACACTGAGGTTCTTTCTCCTCATCATCAGCATCCATGACAACATCATCCTTGATTAACCCTAACTATGACATCCTTTTCTGCATGCCCCATAAGTCTCCTTAGCTTGTATCTTTGTTGGAGTTCTCCATCCATGTCGCTGTCCCTATCTCGCTTTCTCTTGCGGGAGTCGTTATCATCATCGTACAAACCATTGTCCTCATTATCAGAATCATTAGCATCCGTATCATCACCATTCATTCCTCCCATTTCACTTTCTTCTTCGTCATCTTCGTCACTTGTGCTAATTTCAATTACTGCATTACTACTGGTCTCTGAGAAGTCGGACCGCTTTTCGTAATTGCAACTGTTCAAATTCTTCCTTAGGAGGTAACTCCATTTGGATGAAACATTGTTTTCGTTGAAATTCTAGCTAAAACTCTCTGCCACGAAGTATAGGAATGTGTTTAAGGTGAACGATCTGAGGAAGATTTTGCTGGTTAGTCTTCAAGCGAGGATATATATATATATTGAAACATTGAAACATTCTTTTATTCAGCAAAATATCACAATAATAATTTACTAGGAGACCAGAAGTTTTCACTTGTTAGGCCACCTTGTGAGAAAAGAAAAGTAAAATAACTTCTAACAAACAAAATATCAAAATACAATAAACACTTTGACTAGAGCAGTTTCAATTAAACGATGAAAAATAATTTTCCAAGATTAAATGATGAACAGACTGCTTAAACGATCCTAGCGTTGGCAAATTTTTAACATGCATTGGTAAAATATCCCATAACCGACTCGACACATGAAAAACAGAATTAATTATGAAATTTGTACGAGGTTTCGGTAAATAAAAATCCGGGTTATTTCTTAAAACTATAGAACGGTGATTTAATAAATGATTGAGCTGATGGGTTAATGAGGGACAGTAATTTAATTTAAATAATTTATAAAAAAAACAATAAAGTAAATAAAATGTGTAATTGATAAATTTTCAAAATTTTTGAAGACGTATAAAAATGACTAATGTGATCAGATTTAGTTAAACCAAACAGTATACGAAGAAAAAAATTTTGACAAACGTTTAAAATATGGATATTTGTCTTTGTACTAAAACCCCAAATAGATATGCAATATGAAATATATAGCAAAACCATTGAATAATACAATGTAAATAAAACATGATTAGGAAATTTAGACCTAAGACGATACATCACACCTAAATTTTTTGTTATTTTTTGTGAAATCATTTGAATGTGATTAGTCCATGACAAATTGCTTGTTATAACAACACCTAAAAATTTAGTAGATTCGGCCCTATTAATGAAAGTTGAACGTTAACAATATTAGTTCGAATCTTTGGTCCAAATAAAATAAAATGCGTTTTAGTAAGGTTAATTCTTAAATTATTAGCTTGAACCCAGTTGTATACATTAAGAAGCTCCACATTACAAATTGATGCCAAAACATTAACATTAGGATTAGACAATAACAAAGTGGAATCATCCGCAAAGAGAATCAATTTTATAAAGAGAATAAAGAGAATAATATACATATATATATATATACATATATATATATATATATATATATATATATATATATATATATAGGGAGAACTCCAACTTGATTGGTACCAACGATACCGTCGTCTTCCTTCTCCTCATCATCATCCTTCACCGCAATTTAAAAATTTGCTTTTTATCAAATCGATAATTTTCACTCATTTTATAAGAATTTCATTACTTTTTTGTATTTTTTTGCTTCTGGAGGATTTTGAGTTCCATTCATAATTTGATAATAACGTTGGTGGGCATTCCCCTCGGAATGCATAAAATGAAATATTTAAACATCGATTATATATAATATATAATATTGCCTTTGGAGGTTTTTATCGAATTTAATAATACAAATTCATCAAAAAAGTTTGGATATTCAAAAAATAATTTTGAAAGCGCGGGACCTGAAGCGGCCGCCCCAAGTCGCCCCTTCCCCCCTAAAGCCGCCTCTGTACTACCAATACTACTACTACTACTACTACTACTACAACTACTTCAACTACCACTACTACTACAGTTATTACAAAATCTACTACTTTTTATGAAATTAGTAACCTATAAATATAATTAATTCTTCTTAATATTATTGTTATTATTATTATTATTACTGTTATTATTATTATTATTACACAACCTGAAATTAGGCGACCGAATATTGTACATGAAAAGACTTCCAAGCTCGATAACAGAGGAGGAAGTGATGTCACTGGACCCCGACATTCAAAAAGTCCTTCTCGATGATTCTAAAAATCACTCCAATACCAAGTTCGGTGGTAATGGTGATGATGATGGCGACGGTAATAATGATGATGATGACGGTGATAATGATGATGATGACGGTGATAATGATGATGATGACGGTGATAATGATGATGATGACGACGACAAACAGCATCTAATTATAACTACTCCTGTCTAGATTCGCTTTTAAATTTACCCCAAATTATATATAGATTATTGTCTATCATGTATGTTTATGTATACAGACACACACATTAATACTTCTGTAACATAGATTCACTTTTAAATTTTCCTAAAGTTAGTTACAAACTGTTCTGCTTAGTTACAAATACACATATTTGATCAAACCCATTCTGATCTAGCTTCACTTTTAAATAACTTCAAGATAGATTACTCAGCGTGCACACAATAAATAGGATATTCAATCTTCTCTACGCTAACCTAGATTCACTTTTAAATTTTTCTAAAATTAGGTACGCGCTTCTCTTATTTGAAGATTCGAAGACAGCCAAAGGGGCTCTGAGTAGATTGAAAGGCGTCATAATAGACGAGTGTAACATCGTAGTTGATGTCCTAAACGAACTGAAGTCCGTGTCCTGCTGTCAGGTGTCTGATTTCCCGCTGGCCCCAACCAAAGATCCTAAAAAGTTATACGTTACCGGTCAGTCGGTCGGGGGCTGATCCTTAATCTCTAATCAAAGATCAGGGATTAAGGATCAGTGAATGATTGATGGTTATGATGATGAGTGTGATTGAGATGATGATGAGGTTGTCCTATGTGTTATTCCTTGAATGGATCAAATAATAATAATAATAATTATAGGATTTGGAAGGTCCACAACAAAGAGACAGCTATCATCACTATTTCCGACCTCTTCATCCATCCATTATCCCATCCATCCATCCACTAAAATCTCAATTGGGTAGTCTGTCGATGTCGTTGCTGTTGGCACGCACGCACGCATACATACATCCACACACACACACAAACACACAAACATTCACACAATCACTCATACATACTATTGTCTTAATTTTGGTTTGGCGGCAAATATAATATCGTATCTTGTGACATACACACACGTACACATACACGTACACACATACACACACACATACACGCATACACACACACAGATATGCCTTTATTTATTACGACGACGAAGCTGAAGCGAAGTCAGTCCATGATTCATCTCAAGGTCTGGTCGTCAATGACAACGACGTTGTTGTCATGTTTGGAAAGTTGGAGAAGAAAAGACAAAATGGCGGCCGTGGTGGTGATAATAATGATGATGGTGGTGATGATGATAATGATGGTGATGATGATAATGATGGTGATATTGATAATGATGATGATGATGATGGTGATAATGATGATGATGGGGATAATGATGATGATGATGACGATGACGATAAACCTTCACATGGAAACATTTGCAATGATGATCATCATTATCATCGCCTAGAAGATCGTGATGATGATGATGATAATGATGATGGTGGTTGCGGGGAAAATGATAATGATAATAATGGCAATGAGAATATAAAAGCCGCCGGTCGCATTAGTAGCTGACTAGTTATCCAGTTTAACTAGATGGTCTAATGGTTAGGGCGCTTGCTCCTGATGTTGCGGGGACCTGGTTCGAACGCAAGGAAATCCCAGCCCATTACATACAAGTTTGGATTCGAGCTTGATAGGTAGAATGTGTGTTGTTGTTGCTGTTGTTTGTGTTGGTTCCTCTGTGAGAGTTAACTGAAAGGGATACAACAACTATATAACATGAATAAAACTGATTCAGATAACGGTGATGACGTTGTTGTTGTTGTTGTTGTTGATGATGATGATGATGATGATGATGATGATGATTAGTGGAATAATGATCATGATGATGACGACGACGACGATGATATACCATTTTTAAAAGTTTTTTTCGTTAATACTTTAACGCACAAAAAACAAAGCTGCTTCTTTTAAAAAAAAATCATTTATTTGTAAAAATATATATATATATATATATATATATATATATATATATATATATGAAAAATAAGAATAAAAATAAAAAGCCTATACCAAAAGACAAACATTAACAATAATATTGCTTTTTAACAATGATAATATGTAGGGCATATATATATATACAAAATGTTATAGCAAAATATAATGATAGTAATAATAATAATGATATTGATGTTAATAATAATACCCTCAAAAACGCGGACTAGAATCTTTTAGTGTAAATAATAATAATAAAAAAAAATTATTATTGTAAATATATATGTGGAATGTTACGTAAGATGACAATGTTAAAACAAGACAAAAATAAAACGGTTTTTTGTTTGTGTGTGTGTGTGTTGGTGGTGGTTTATTATTTATGTTAATGTTGCGTGCGTGCGTGTGTGCTTATGAATAAATTAAATAATTTTAAAGCAGCGAGAACATTGTCGCTAACACACTGAAATAACAACTGCTAATATACATATTAAAAACTTTGTGTGTGTGTCTGTGTGTGGTGTGTCTGTGTGTACGTTTGTTTAAACATTTAAATAAAATAATGGAAAAAATTTCATATACAGCAGACACGTGTATGTGTGTGAATAAATCATTGGAAAAGAATTAAATAAAGGAATTATTTTGGGAAAATATATATATATATATACATTTGCATAGAATTGTATGTGAAATCTATTTTTATCATAACTTTGTGCTGTTTAAAAAAACAAAATGGAAGAAATATTGGAGCCAAAAAGACCGCGAAAAAATTCGGTAAAAAAGTTGTGTTAGTATTAGTCGAGTTTGTTTTATCAAATAACCGGTTAATTAATTGACCAAGCAATCAATCATCTAATTAAACAATTAAATATCAATCAACAAATAGACCAGCAAATGATATGGCCAACCAATCAACCAACCAATCGATCAATCAAACCAATCAATCATTACCATCAGCAGTTTTATAAATCATTGAAGCTTTATTTAGTTAGACGAACTTTGAAGAGTACGTACGTATGCACGTGTATGTGTGTGAGCGTGTGTGTGTGTGTGTTTGTTCGTTTGTATGTTCATCGTTCGCGCGTCAAGAACTTTAATAAATAAAAATTTTCGTCAAAAAAAAAGTTGAAAATTGAAACGTCAATAAATAAAAAAGCCATAAATAAGATGCGATAGAGTTCGTAATTAAATCGATAATAATATTATTATTATCTTTATTATTAATTATTTTTGTTATTATCGATATTTTAATTATTTTGATCTGTCGTTATTAACCGTAATTTATTAGCTCCTATTTATTTGTTCATTGGTTCATTCATTCGTTCGTTCGTTCATTCGTTCTTTCGTTCATTCATTCGCTCGTTTTTTTAAATTATAAACGAATGAATGAATGAACGAACGAATGAATGAATGAAAAAAACGAAATATAAATAGACAGAAAGATGAAAAACGAACAAGTAGATGAAAAGATAGATACAAAATTTAATAAATAAATTGTGAAAGTTAATTATATCATCTTTGATTCGCGTTTCAACACGTCTATAATAATAATAATTATAATAATTATAATAATAATTATTATAATAATAATAACACAAAAAATAACAATAATAATAGTAATAATATATATTGCTTGTTGTTATTGTATATAAGTTAGGATAAGTTTGGACGGTTGAGAAATAATAAAAATCGTACAATAAGGCTTTGTATGTATGCATGTTTGTTTGTTTGTTTGTATGTATGTATGTGTCTTTGTTTGTATGTATTGGTCTTTGTTTGTTTGATGGTTTGAAAGTATGTCTGCGTGTATGTATGTTTGCTTGTGTGTAAGTGTGTTTGTTTGTATGTCTGTGCTATGATGAATGTACGTTTTTATTTCAAACTACAAAAATTTTATAATTTTAATAATGCTAATTTGGTTAATAATATTTTCGTTTGATCATCATCGTCGTCGTCATCGTCTTCATCATCATCACGTTCTTTCTTCTTTACCAACTAAATTAAATAAATTAAATTTGAACTGTTGTTAATTTTCACATTTGTGTATTGTATGAATGTGTGTGTGTGTGTATGTGTGTGTGTGTGTATGTATGTGTGTGTGTGTTTGTATGTATGCATGTGTGTATGTATGTGTGTATGTATGTCTGTATGTATGTATGTGTGTATGTACGTACGCACGTAAGTATGTATGCATGTATAAGTTTGGTGTAACTTCGGAGAAACCAGATGCACTGTATCATTAGGTTCATGTTGTTGTTGTTGTTGACGATGTTGTTGATGCAATTGTTGTTAATGATGTTGTCTTTGCTAATGTTGGTGTTTTTACATCTCTAATGCCAATGATGTTAGTATTTCGTTTATGTTTCTTCTTCGTCTTCTTCTTCGTCTTCTTCTTTTTCAACTTCTTATTATTATTAATATTATTATTCTAATTCAACGGCCCAAACATATATATATATATATATATATATATATATATATATATATATATATATATATATATATATATATATGTGTGTGTGTGTGTGTGTGTGTATGTATATATGTATTTAGTATATATCTGTGTGTATGTATGTATGTGTGTATGTGTGGTTTGTGATTAAAACACATGTTGTTCATCAAACAATAGCAAGAATACCTTGAACACACCTTGAATACCTTGTTTTAGGATTCCATGATACAATATGGATGTGCGTGTGTATTTCATGTGCGTGTTGTAATGTTTACACGTGTGTATGTACGTTTGTATGTATGTTTGTATGTATGTATGTATGCATGTATACTTGTATGTATGTAGGTATGTGTATATGTGTATTTATATATAATGAATGTCTTAATAAATATTGGAATGTTAGTATAAAGGGACTAGATCTATAATATGACTATATTATATATATAAAAAATCTGTTTTCTTTCTATATATATATAATATATATAGAAAGAAAAAAAAAGATATTAAATTTTTTTAAACAACAAAAAATTGTAATTAGAATTTAAATTATATATAAATATATATAAAGTATACAAGCGTAAAATAGCAGCCACGAAAACCTAAAACAAATGAGAAATAAAATCACATTGATAAAACAAAAAAACTATTTTTGTGTTTGTTTGCGTGTGCGTGTGTGTGTGTGTGTGTGTGTGGTGTGGTGTGCGTTTTGTTAGTCTGTTTGTATGTGCATTTGCTTGTTTGTTTATTTGTTTGTTTATTTGCTTGTTTGTATGTATGTATGTATGTATGTACGTATGTATGTATGTATGTATGTATGTATGTATGTATGTATGTATGTATGTATGTATGTATGTATGTATGTATGTATGTGTGGGCATGTTAAGTTTGTTGTAATCAGCAGTATGAAAAAAGGTGCTAACAATTTTTGATTAATAATAATAATAATATTTTTATTATGATTAATAATAATAATAATATTATTATTATTATTATTATTACGTTTAATTATAAATGTAAAACATTTTCACATGATACCAGCAATCATACGCAGACACCTCATACGGTGCTGGTCGAGCTTACGTATGGGAAACCGTAGGACATCCAGGTTAAAATTGGGGTATACAGACATACATATATACATACACACATACATATACATATACAAACAAACAAATCAAAATACATACATTAAAACTTTTTCTGTCACAGACATACTCACCGACAAGCAATGTACATTATCACCATCAAAGTCTTCATCATCATAATTTAATTAATCTTTCTCTGACCAGTTTTAAGAGACCAGATGACAAAAAATATATATGTGTATATAAATTAACAAAATAATAAATTCTAATAATTAATAATTATCATTAACAACAACAACAATAATAACAAAAACGTTTATGGTTTTTATTTTCATCGCATCATGACAATCTTTCTTAAAAATTAAACACAATTCAAACTGCTGCTATACAGGACTGGAATGTTATTATTATTATTACTATTACTGTTGTTGTTGTTGTTTATGATGTGCTGATGATGAAAAAGATGGTGATGATGATGATTTTGTGGAAGAAGGAGATGATGATGATGATGATTTTGCTGTAATAGTAATAGTTGTTGTTGTTGTTGTTGCTGCTGGTATGGCGAGCTGTTATTTACATTCACACTTTCAACACTGTTATTATTATTATTATTAATGTTATTAGTATGATTATTATTATTGTTATTATTATTATTATTGTTAATAATATCTTTATTGCTATCATCGCCACTGCTATTAATATTATTAGGAGTGTTATTGCTTGTAACAATCTTATTGTTATTATTGTTGTTGTAGCTATTATTAGTATTGTTATTATTATTATTATTATTGTTTTTGTTATTGTTGTTGTTGTTATTATTATTATTATTATCAGTGGTCGACATGGGCGAATTATTTTCGCGATGTTCGTCGTCGAAGTATTTGTCTAGAGACCGTCTACGGGCGTTCATGAAAAAATTCGCGACGGTCGACGGTTTCAAGCCGAGCTGTTCGGCTATTGTATTCTGCATGTCCTTATTTGGTCTCTTGGTCTCGCGAAAAATCGCCACTAGAGTCCGCCTCTGTATGTCGGTAAAGACGAGTCGCGGTTTTTTCGCCTGTGGCTGCTGGCCGGTTCCCGAACCGTTATTACCGATACCGTTATTACCGTTGCTGTGGTGGTGGTGGTTGAGGTGGTGGTGGGTGGTAGTTAAGTGGTGGTTTCGGTGCTGGAGGAAGGAGTGGTGTGGGTGGTGTGGGTGGTGGTGGGGGTGCGGCAGAGACTGGTGGAGGTCTGTTTCTTTTGATTTTCCAACTGTGGAATATTTTTATTATTATTATTATTATTATTATTATTATTATTGTTATTATTTCACTATTATTATTATTATTATTATTAGCATTGTTGCCATGATTTCTATTGTCCGATTTATAGACTTATTATTATTTATTTTTAATATTAAAATTTATTAATATTTTATTTAGTGCAAACATTATTGATCAAAAACAACACAAAAAATACAAAAACCCGCAACCAACAGACAAAAAATACAACAACAACAATAACCACAACAGCAACAACTGCAGCTACGACAACAGCTACAACAACAAGTACAACTACAAAAACAACGACTACTACAACATCAACAACAGCAACCACAACAACTACAACAACAACAGCATCAAGAAACAACCCGACGACCAATTCATTAAATTCGCATCAATTTTGATTCAATCATGTAACATCACGATAGCTCCATGCACTCCGACATCTACTACTACTACTTCTTCTACTACTACTACTACTATTGCTGCTGCTGCTGCTGCTTCTACTACTACTACTGCTGCTGCTGCTGCTGCTGCTTCTATTGCCACTGCTACAATCACTGCTACTACTTCAACTTTCTTTAATCTCAAAAAAAAACCGTTGATAAATGAAAATTAAAAATCGAAGTAAAAATCAAATGACATACAGAGACACAAGCTTACACACGCACGCACACACGCACACACACAAACAGATAAACATACAAATATACACTGACACATACAGAGGATTGTTGATGACATTTAATGTAAAGGCCAATAAGGCAGCATATAAGTTATAAGACGTGTAGAAGATCCTCATTTTTTTATCATACAATTTCCCTTAGGAATTCGTTGCATATTTTTGCATGTCTGTTTGTATGTATGTATGTATGTATTTATGTATGTATGTATGTATGTATGTATGTATGTATGTATGTATGTATGTATGTGTGCATGTATGTATGTATGTATGTATGTATGTATGTATGTATGTATGTATGTATGTATGTATGTATGTATGTATGTATGTATGTATGTATGTATGTATGTATGTATGTATGTATGTATGTATGTATGTATGCATGTATGCTTGTATGTCTGCAGTTTGTATGTATGTGTTTGTTTATTTATGTATGTATGTATTTGTTTGTTTACTAAACTATTTATAATTTATTTATAGATAAGTAGTCTCAGCTCTGGGACATGCAACAAGTACTGAAACATTTGTATGTCACGTGATGTTCTAAATGGTCTATGTTGTCACTATTTTATCTTTGTTGTTGTTGTTGTCATTGTTATGGTTATTTTGTCTATGCCGATGTCATCACTACTTTATCTTTGTTGGTGTTTTTGTTTTTACTGATTTGTGTATGTTGTCGTCGTTTCTTATTAAGGTTTTTTTGTTTGTTTTGTCTTTGCATTTATTTTTGGTGGTTGTAACTATGTCGTCATTGTTATTGTTGTTAACAGTTTGATGTCTTTGTTTGTGTTGTGAACTTGTTTTTTATTTCCATTCAGGTTAACAACAAGTCAATGATGATGATGATGATGATGATGATGATGATGATGATGATGATGATGATGATGATGACGATGATGACGACGATGAAACTAATTCTTTAAATTTAATGATCCCAGAGCTAATTAAAATAACAATGCTACCTCAAACATTAACAAAGAAACAACAACAACAACAATAACAACAACAATAATAATAATATAAATATTAATAATATCAGCACTAATAATAACAACAATAATAATAATAATCATCATTAATGGAAAGCAAGTCAAACGTCAATTAAAAAAAATTTATATCTAATGTGCCAGGTTATAATACAAAAAAATCTTTCCCTTTCTCTCTCCCCTCTTTCTCTCTCTCTCTCATACGTATGAGTGTGTATGTGTGTATGTATGCGTGTGTGTGTGTGCGGGCGTATATGTAGATAATTGAAGAAAATTGTTTTATGGAGCTGATAGACAACTTGGAAGAAATGGTTATTAAGAAAGACAATTGCAATGATAGGGATGGTGATAACGTTGATGATAATAACAATAATAATTATTATAAGTAATAATAATAATAATTATTATGAATAATAATTATAATGATGAAGACGACGACGACGATGATGATGGTGATGACTGGCATTAATGTATCCTGTTGAATGGGACATGTTCAAGGCTTTTGATTAGCCAAGCATGCCCGTCACGCTCTATAGAACATCTCACCTCTATACATGCATGCATGCATGCATACATACATACATACTTACATACATACATACATACGTACGCACAAACATACATACATACAGACATACATACATACACAAAAACACATACAACACCCATACACAAACGTACAACACACACATACAACACATATACAACATTCATACATGTGGTATATACATCATTGTGTTGTAACTATGAAAACTATTATTTCATTTGAGTATAAGTTATAGTAGTAGCGGTAAATTTGTAGTAAAATTAGCAGCAGCAGCAGCAGTAGTAGTATCAGCAGCAGCAGTAGTAGTAGTAGCCGTAGTAATGATTGTAGTAACCGTAGTGGTGATAGAAAGACCTATTTATTGTCTTTTCATTCATTCATTTGTTTTGATTGCATTGGGGTATTTTTTTATTATCTTTTTGCATGGGCAGATTAATTATTAACAACACCAACAACAATAATAATGTTGTTATTATTTTTTTTTTGTTATTTAAATAAAAAAAAATTTTTTAATTCATAAACGGAATTTACAAAAAATCCAATTATGATAGTTTGAAGTTGCAGTGGAGGAATGATTGATTGATTGACGGATGTGTATAAAAAATGAGGAAAAAAAAGTAAAAAAAATTCAAACAAACAAAAAGAAAACAAATTATAATTAGACAGAAAGAGAGAGAGAGAGAGAGAGAGAGTGAAAGGAAGAGAGAGAGAAAGGAAGAGAGAGAGAAAGGAAGAGAGAGAGAGAGAGAGAGTGATAGATACATAAAAAGGATTTAGAAAAAATTGATGTTAACGAAAGAACAAATGATGGAGGGTAGAAAGAAGGAAGGATGAGAAAAATGAAAGATTGAAAACAACAAAAAAAGTTGAGAAAGAATGAAAAAAAGAGACGGAAAGAAAGATAGAGAAAAAGAAAGAAAGAAGAAAGAGGGGAGAGTGGAGAGAGAGAGAGAGAGAGAGAGAGAGAGAGATTACCCGCTGTTTACCTGCGACAACCAGTGGCTTGAAACATATGGCGCACCGATGATGATAATGATGACTATGATGGTGATGATGATGATGGTTATGATGATGATGGTGATGGATAGTGATAGTAATGATAAAGAAGAAGATGATGAAGATGAAGGATAAGATGAAAAAGATGAAGGTTATAAGGGTATATATATATATATATATATATATATATATATATAACAACAATAATAATAATAAACTACACTTATAATAATTCAAGTAATAATAATAAATAATAATTATAATGATCATAGATCATAATTACAATGATGATGACAAATGAAATGATGAGATGTGGATGCAGATGATTCGAACGTTCGTGTTATTATTATTATTATTATTATTGTTATTATTATTGTTGTTGTTGTTGTTGTTATTATTATTATAATTGTTATTATTATTATTGTTATTATTATTATTATTATTGTTATTATTATTTTTTTTATTATGATCTCAGATGCTGTCCGTTTAAACAATCATACTGAGCGCCTGCTTTCATCCTCAATCAAATTAACTGACAAGGATGATGATTTTAATGGTGCTGATAGTAGTTGTAGAAGTTGTAGTAGTAGTAGTAGTAGTAGCGGCAGTAGCAGTAGTAGTGTGATAATAGTAGTAGTAGTAGCAGCGGTAGTAGTAGTAGTGTGATAATAGTAGTAGTAGCAGCAGCGGTAGCAGTAGTAGTAGTGGAAGTAGTAGTAGTAGTAGTAAGAGTTGTGATGATGTATGATGATGTATATATGTATATATGTATGTATGTCTGTCTGTATGTATGTTTGTATGTATGTTTGTATGTATGTATGTATGTATGTATGTATGTATGTATGTATGTATGTATGTATGTATGTATGTATGTATGTATGTATGTATTTATGTATGTATGTCGCACGAGTTATTCTCATATCATGCTAAATAAACATGACACAGCTGAATAAATATGAATAAAAATCGCCGCCATCATCATCATCATCGTCGTCATCATCATCATCATCGTCGTCATCATCATCATCACTATCATTCATCGCATTCATCATCATTATAGTTAAGTCAATATCACACTAATCAGCAGCAACAATATATTTAATGTGTGCTATTTATTACTGTACTACTACTACTACAACTGCTGCTGCTGCTACTACTACTGCAGCTACTACTACCACTACTGCAGCTGCTACTACTACCACTACTACTACTACGGCTACTACTACAATCCC